AAAAACTCACACGTCAAAGTCTGCAAAACGAGCGTTTCGTACGAGACATCCTCCAAAAGTCAAGCGGAAGCACCCATCGGAGCACACACATCACGCAGCCCTGCCAAGCAGTTTCGCGATTCCAGCCCCTCCAAACAACATCCGCTCACACGCCAATCCCAATGTGACAGCGACATTCACCTCTACCACAACTCACAACCTCACGATTCCCTGCACCTGCCACGAATCTTTCCGCGTCCACACGTCTAACGCGCACAAAGTACTGCGCCTGCCACGAAATGTCGCCTCCGTCACACCTCGCAACCTCACGATTCCCTGCGCCTGCCACGAGAATCGCACTTCCACGCCTCAAAACCCGCACAAAGTCCTGCGCCTGCCACGAAAATTGACAATATCCTCTCATGTGAGCTTCAACCAAATTTGCACCACACCACACGTTTGGAATGATTTCGACCTGTTTGGGTCTGTCCGATTTTACCTGTAACATCCTGCAACAGTCAGTAACAATAGGATATACTACCCAACCTATAGTCATTGTACAGTTCATCCTGATGCTCTAACAATCAACTGCTGAGCAAAAGAAATTCCATGTCTTGACCCGGCGACAGGACTATCTCAAAACCCGAAGCCGCAGCCCCAGTGAAAACATCAACATGACATCCTCCTCGTACTCAGATCTCTCAAATCCCAAGTGGAATTGACCATAAACAGTCTTTATGATTTGAGCCAAGAGTTCTGATGGGGAGGTGTTCATCACGACCGAAAAATTGGAAAAAAGAACATGCCTTGGAGCCACGCTGACCTGTTGCAATGATGGGTGGGTGATCAAGTTCCAGATCAAATTGATAGCTGGAAGGATTCGGATTGATTCAACAATGACTCAAATGGCTATTATTCATGTATGAAACGAGTCAATGGTCAGTCAAGTCTTGCTGGGGAATTCTTGGTGGATACAGTCGTTCACCCAAAAAAAACATGCAGCGGCCAGTCCATGCAGACTCGAATTAAACTCTATAGGGAGATCTGGCTCTTTCTTGGGAAGACAGGGAATGCATGTGGCTGTGGTGTTGCAAGCTCCACTCAACGTCTACAGCAGCTTACAGCTAGCGATAGAAGATCTGGAAACCCATGCTGTGTGTGTGTTGGCAAACCATCCAAGGATTTCTGATGTTCAAGCAACCAGTGAGTCAAATAATCATTCAACAAACCAATCAATCAATCAATCAAATCAATCAACCTGCAGCTTCCCTCCCCCAAGCAGGGCCCTGAGCTGCCCTGAGGCAGCCAGATCGCTCCTTCTCGCCGCTGACGGGACAGAGAGACATGGGAGCGTGGCAAAAGAAAACGCCAGGCTCAGCGGTTGGCCAGTTGAGTTCCACGATCGAACACCGGAACCACACCCCCTCAAAAAGAAAGAACTTGGAAGATTTCTATTTGGAGACCCTGGGTTTGTTCCTTTGTGTCTCTGGTACTCTTCCTTTGCATCTCCAGGGTGCCAAGGGGCGGCGCGAGCAAAAACGCGTTGCGCAGACTTGAAACCAACTTCGGTTCGGACCTGCCAGGCAGCTGACACCGAATCCTCATGTTTGGCACCCGAAAAGCCGGGTGTGTGTTGCCAGGACTCGCTACCGGATCCGTCCAGACCGGGGTGACTGAACTGCCGGGGGGTTTGGGTGTCGGAGCGCCGGAACGCACTGCGTGAAAGGGCCTTGGGGGTGGGTCATGTCCCGGGGACTGACTGGAGGGTTTTTCAAGCAGCTGGAGGTGGTTGAACAGGTGGAGAGGAAGAGGGAGGCAGCGTCATCAATCATTCATCATTCAACTGCTGGGGTGAAGATGGCTTGCGGGGGTCCAAGTGGCGAAGGTCTTTTGGGAGCTTCGGAACTTTTTGGTTGGGGGTTTTGGTTTAAGTACCGGATCCAGAAGGATTTGGTGGTGTGACTCGCCTTCCAGAAATGTGATAGAATGTGGCAAACGTTTGATGTTGTTGAATGCCGTTCATGCCATACCGGGTGTGGATTTTTGGGGTGTCCTTGTTCCACACGTTTTATTTCTGGATGCGCAGAACAGTGGGCACATGGTGGACACAGCGCTGGAAAGATACACCTGGGCTATTTGTGGCAAGGTTTCTGGGGCGTTTCTTTGGGGAAAGGGAACTAACTCCTCGACTTGGTACACACTTGCAACATGATGTGTCAATCGATAATCTGTTTCAAGGTTCCGAAATCCTATCAAACCACCCTGATACGAAAGTGAAAGCTCCATTTCTTCGGCAGAATACCTGCACTACGTGTTAAAATCGGCCGAAAACCATTTCAGCCGGTCCTGGAAGGGCTCGGTTTTCGGCTTTTCGTTTCTGATCCTGTTTCCGTATATCTTCACTGCTCGAGCGTTTGCACACCTATTGTCCGATGAGCTTTTCGCAACCTGCACAGGCGCCCCTGTGCGGGGGGAGTGGCGACTGGGACTGGGGAGTGGCTGGGGGGAAGGGTGTTGCAATCGACCTCCCAAGCGTTCCGACTCAGAAGGAACATTCTAATTCCCTATAGGCTCCAAGTACCTTCTGAGAAGGTACTTGGAGCCCTATAGGGAATAGCTTCTTGTTCCTAGTAGTACGGCCAGGAGCCCCTAAGTTCGTAGCGTCTTCTCTCGCTCCGTTCGGCTCGCGATGCCGCTCCGTTCGTAAACAGACCAGTCTACCCAGTCTACTGGGCCAGATAGTCGGAACATAGACCCAGACGCGACCGACCCGAATCCTCTGGAGGAGGGGTCTGGGGCAGTGTCTGGGGCAGGCTCCACCAATCCGATTTTGAAAAGAATGTTATTCCAGACGCGTCGTTCACGGAGCGTCGTTCGGTACCGCACCCAGACCGTGTTCCGTCGCCGTGGAGCCGTATCACAGAATCCCTCGAATCCGACTCAACGACCTGAGACGATGCAGCGACGCGGCGACATGGCATACAGGACTTGAAAAAAAGGTGGAAACACTAGCACTTATTGCTTATTATAGATCTTACCTGGGCATCTCAGGATATGTTTTGTCGTGAGCAATTCAGAAAGAACATGTCAATCAAAGGTTCAAGAAGACACTCCATGTTTGGCGCGCCTAGATTGGGGTGGCTGAAAAAAAAAGGGGTCAATGTGGAACCATCGCCAGTCGCATTAGTCGTGTCGTTCGGATTCTTAGTGTTTGGTGTCCTCGTGTGAGTGGTATGCCTATTGGTCCCATGTAGCGTTCATCCTCTTCGGTGACGAAGGTCAAGGTTTTCGTTCCTTTGGACATGGTGAAGCCTCGGAGGCGAAAGCGATGGCTGTCTACCTGGAAGAGCCTCTCTATGCTTTCTGGAAGAATCAGGGTGCCGGCGAGGACGGAAGCAGAGTCGGGGGTGGGGCGTGCTTGGTTCACTGATTCGGAAGCAGGACGGGGTCGGGAGACGTGGTTTTTTGGGCTCAACATTGGGAGACGTCCCAGGCAGATCTCCCGGAAGGTTTGGAACATTTTGGAACATAGACCCAAAACTGGCCAAAAGCCAGGGTCCCTGGCCGCCGGGTGTTCTCACGGAAGACATATATACATGCATGCACATAGTGTTAATATGTGCTCATCAATAGGTCCAGCCATCAAAGACACAATTTTTGGGCGGCGGAGGTTTGAGCCAGATTGCTTTTTCTTGCAGCACAGGGGCGGCGGAGAAGTTCTCTTGAGCTATCGTTGTTGTGGTAAAGGATTTTTGACCTGTCGGAGAAGATGAGGGATGATGAGGTCGACATATTTGAAGAATAGCTGCTGTGAACACACATGTGCAGGTATATGATGTGTGTGTGTCACATATTCAAATTGTGCACATGTTTCATATGTGTTTGTGAATCTGGAAAAGTCAAGATTGGTCAGGGATCCTTTTTCTTGTGACATTGCACTTCATTGACAATTGATGAGGGCAGCGGCAAAACCCATGCCATAAAGTCTGTCTATACTTTGTGTTTAAGCAACCAAAAGCTGTCCAATTCACAAGCATGCACGAGTAAATAAGGGAGTTTAATGCAAATTTTCTGGCTTAGTGAGTAGTGATGGTACATTCGACTATGTGGAAGAAGTCTAGCGCCATCTTAAAACCGCTGCAGGACGGCTGTGCGTGGATCAGGTACTGAATCCTATGGAAGACCAGTTGGACAGTTGTAGTGTCGTTTAATTTGCTCATATGACATGTTCTGTTTGTCCTATTACCAGTACTCAGTTTGTATTTACAATCACCACTATTTTTGAACAGGGCCTTTACTAACCATCATCATCTACTGCTACTGGTAATAGGATAGACGGATAGACCCAATCGAACAAAAAGGCCTCCCCATTTGACCCACCCACGTGGCGACCCGAGATTCTCGATGCAACCCGCGTCCATCGAGTAGTAGACGCAGCGACGCGGATTCGATTTGTCAAGGGTCTTCTGTGGTCTACTACCCATTTTCCTAGGGGGGATCCAAGACGACACTTTTGTGTAGGTGCCAAAACGTCGGGTCCAGTCGTACCGAACCTGAGGTTTGGGTACGACTGGAATGGTCCAAGGTTTGCAATACAAACCCCCGATCCAAACCCAAATGAAGCAGAGTACAACCCCATTCAGATCCTCCGGACCCCATACTCATCACCAGGACACAGCCGAGACTCCGGGCATGCGTGTGGATATCGAGCCCCTTGGCCAGGGCGTTTGCACCCGCAGAACAACAGAAGCCGTTGGGCTTCCCATGCTACAATGTGGAGAGATGGTCTATGATGGTCTCCAGAGAGGGGTGCATCCCTGGAAGTCCAGTCATGACTCATTTTACCCTCTAGGAAGTGATATCATGACATATGACCTGGTAGTGGTGGGGTATGAGTCATTGGAAGTGACCTGGCTTTGTCAATCTCGATGACCTCGTCCCCGGTCGGTCGGACCGTGAAAACACGGAGCGTGTCGGTCTCGCGCCAACGAAGCCGCGTTCAACATCAACGCGATGGACATCAATGATTTACCCGAACAACATGTTTTTCAGAGTCTCCATCTCTTCTTCCTTTTCTTGATTACACGGTGGAAGAGATGAAGTTTTTTGGAAGCTTTTCATCCTGACCATCTGGAGTCAAAGAGGCCCGGTGCCGTCCTCTTGCGTCGTGGTGTAATGAGCAGGTGTAACAGCTATGATTTTGCGGCGTTTTTGTTGTGATGTGACGGTTGGCTGTCGAAAAACAAAAAAATAGTGCTCTATCAAAGTGCGCTCATCAAAGTGCCACATTCTGTGATGCAATCGGCCCAGTATGTCTTCCTGATCTTTTGTTTGCCCCTAGTGGCCCCACCCATGGTGTCGGTGTTACTCGTGCGCACGGTGGCGAACGGAAGGATACGAACATACACGAACACATCACGTGGACGTGGACTCTGTTTTCCACTTCCATCTTAGTGGGGTCAGAGTGTCGTCCTTGACCGTTCTTGGTCAAAGTCGTCCTCGGGTCCTGCGGGGTTTGGCACGGCATGGACAAGAGGTGTGTCGGACAGGCGGATTTGTCGAACGCAAATGGTTGAGCGCTGGGCTTCACGCCATGGTGAAGCCCTGTAACTCCCTGGAATCATCATGGGCCAATGTATGCCAACGTGGATGGCATGGCCCCTTGGTTGACCATTTTCCGAATGCCGAACAGGTGGTTTTCACCTGTTTTCACTCCACTTCCATGATTATTCCAAGGAGTGTAACAACATGAACCACACCTCACTCCATGGCCTCGAAGTGATCGAGTCGCAGGTCTTAAGCCTTGGGTTCATCAACAGCATCATTGAAATCTCTTGGAACCCTTGGGAGACAACTTGGGAGACATCAAACACCATTTTTCAAAGATCGAACAACGTGGAAGACATCGGCGCACTGTAGACGCACATGTCCCGTACCGACTGAGGAAGTACCGGATGCGTTATCGCGCCTACAGACTGGGCCACTTTGGCGGCAAGGGGCGTCTGGGTTTGATATCCCAGATGCGACCCATGGGACTGCCATATATGCCGATCAGTTGGGGTGGTTTTGGGGGTCAATGTATGCATATATGATACAGGCAACAGACAATGTCATGCCCAGAAGCAAGAATAAACCAGAATTAGCTGCGGGGAAGGTTTCGTAAGATGTCGTGCCCAAACCTGAATCGCAGGCGACCTCTAATGATGTTTGTGTCCAAACGTAAATTTGTGCAGCGGTGCCATTGGGATTCGCTATTAAACCCAACCTTGACTAGTTTTGATTGATTAGCTTTAACATCATTTGAGGGTCTGGACGGGGGGTTCTCCGGGGACTTCAGCATCATCGGGGACATCGAGGACTTCAGCATCACAACATTGTCATCGATCACAACATTGTCATCGATTAGTCGTGTGATTAAAATGGGGTGGGGGGGGGTGGGGTTGGCCGGGGGGCTCGGGGTGTCACAACAGTGATCACAACATTGTCATCGACGTCACCATATTTGGCTTACTGGTAAGAATACACACACATATATATATATATATATATCGCCTGGGCACTCAGGTCAATTCAGCTTCGGTCACTTTCAACACTCAGGTCCATTTGTTTTTTGGGTTAGGCCTCCGAAATATGTGCAGGACGGATTCAGAGTCGAACGTACGCGTGAAACGAAACAGAGAGTCGCAGCAATTTTATGAGGATAAACTTTGCTTCTCCTTGCTGCTCACTACCTCAACAAGGGACCTGCGAAGCATGTGTGGTGCCACACGATGCTTTCAAAAAAGCACTGTGGCAAACTTAAGACCGAAAGGAATGACGATCAGACAAAAAAAAGGGCTGACTATCAGACATAGCTTTTCTTTTGGCCGTGCAAATGTACTGTGATTTACACTGTAAAAAGCACAACATCCATTTTTTCACTGGTGCCAGCAGTATTTTTGAAGGTTTTTTTCAGCATGAAATGCGATATGCAAAAAGCATGAAACCACACCTTGACCGGGGAGATGAAAAACACCTTGTCCAAATCTGGCATTACTCTGTTCATATTCGACTTCTTCGCGCGGATTTGTATGAAAAAATCCGTTTGTCTTAGCACTTTTTCAATGCATCAAAGCAAGCGCGCTTTATCAGAAACACAGGCCGGCTCCGCGTTTTCGACTCGTTTGACGTTTGCTTGTTGTTTTCGCCCGGAGAACTCCCCGTCCGCAGCCTCATTCGACTATGGCGGTTGCATTGGGACAGCCTCTCTTCAGACATGTGGTGGCTGTATTTTCCACATATCGAAGGGCATTCGGTTCCTGTGGGCATCAGGAGTGCAAAAGCTATGTCTCTGTGTGTGATAGATTTTGTGCCACATGTGGCCGGCCGAATGAAAGTATGATGCCACCACAGCCGAACTGTTCAAACCTGGTCGCAGGGCAGGTTGGTACAAACCTGACACAAAGGATCCAGTGGCATCAGAAAATCCCGAGGAAGAGAAGTTAGCCAAAGGAGTGGGCGACTTGCTGGCGCGATTGCGCCGCGCCCCGGCCAGCTCCACGCCAGAGGAAGCCCCGCCCAAAAAGCTCAAGACAGCTGCTGCAGAAGAGACTGCTGCCAGTTCCTCTGCTGCCTTTGCTCAGCCTGCCCCATTGACAGAGTTCGGTTTTGAATTGCCAGCCCATTGTGTCGAATTTATCGTCCAATGTTTTGCGCCGGAGAAAGGGGACACCGTCCGACCGGTTGCCGAATTCTACGTGGGAACATTACGTTCACAAGCCAGCAAAGCTGATAGCTTGGGATCCTTGTTCCGAAAAAAAGTGATCAACGCCCGTCTGCTTGCTAGCAGCTCAGGGCGCAAGGCCTGGTTGAGTGCAAATGAACACAACCGTGCACTGCGCTTTGTGCCAGCCCCTGCTGTTGTTTGGTCTTCTAAGAAGACTTGACTGGTTCCGGTTCCAGGCTGAGCAAGAGAAGATAGCATGTTGCAATGGCGGTGCCATTGGGGCTTGCACTTTAGCCATGACTTAGGTATGACTTTTGCAGAAAGGCAACCTAGGCAGGACTTAGGCATGACTTAGTGTTTCCCCTGTATGGCATACATGGAGTGTCTGGGTGTCTCTAAGTGGCTGTGTCTTCGGGTTGGTTGGTCCTCGAGTGTGTGTTTTTTTTTGTTGGTTTGTTCCCAAGCTCCTGGAACTTCGGGGTGATGTGTTTGGAATTGTTTGGAGCTCTTTTTGTCTCAGCAGATGTGAGATGGTGGCACTGTAGATTACTTTCGAAGGTGGCCCGGCGACTCAGCGACTGTTTGAATTTGGGATGACATGCAGCGTTGCAAAGCCTCAATCCTCAAGGCAGTTGGTTCCGATATGACTGCTATTGACGCTCGGACCACTGCGATTGACGTTCCGAACTTCTGGACCACTCAAGACAAAGTGGATCACCCAACCGAACCTTTTGTTGGGGGGCCATCGGTCGAGAGACCTGCTCACGTTTCTTCAGCATCCTGGAAGAGACATCGGTTTCCCAGTCGAGAAGATTCGTAACTTTTCACATGTTCCATCCACAAACACTGAGATCGTAGAGCTTCAAGCCGTCGTCCGACCATTTGGACCCGCAAGGATGCGCGAGAATCGGAGTAAGAATCGAAGTCCTGGAGCGAAGGATGGGCGCCTGGACCGACAGACAGGAACTGACAGGAAGTCCTGCGGCAGCCAGCGGTTGGGCGCCGAGTTCACCACCTAAAACACTGGGTCCGTCGGAGAATGGGGGCATTTGATTTCCAGGTTTCTTCGTCTCGGCTCAGCTCATGACACACACCGTTTCCACCGCCGTGTCCGTCGCAAAAACGCTCTTCAGGATGCGCATGCCCGCCGACCCGGAAACGAAGGCCCCCGGTGTGCCTCAGCACCGCTGAGGTTACTCCGGTGCCAAGGGAGCTTTGGATGGTCTGAAGGCTTGCGCCGCTGAGGCTGAAATTTTCGTCCCTCTTCTCGTGTTGGTTCGTTTTGTTTAAACCCAGAGGCTCATGGACCCTCAAACTGCTCATGTTTGAGGTCCCAAACCCTGGCTGGAGGGTCAAAACCCTAGCTGTGAGGGTCCAATGAGCCTTTGGGAATGAATCACATTTGTTCCGAACGTGGCGTGGCAGATGGTGTGTTCGAGTTTTGGGGAAGACAGGGCGTGGTGTTTTGCGTTGTTTTTTGGCAACGATGGATTGGATTTCGGTGGGTTTGGAAGACGTGATGTTCCTCTTCGAGACGTGGTTTTCGGTCGCGAGCGGACGGGCGTCGTTGAAAAAAGAAACGCCCCGAAAAGAAGAGATGATGGTGATGTAAAAGGGTGTCCATGGTCCATGACCCTTGGTGGGTATGGTTTAAAGTTGTTGTTTCTTTCTTTTGAATTCTTTTGAGGCTTTTGAGGGCAAGACCAAAGTAATTAGGGAGGTCTTTAGATGGGCAGCAGTGTGGCATAGTGTTGGGGATTTCACCATGTCGTGTTCCTGGTTGATGCTTGCGTGTCTTGTAAGCTGCGGCTGTTCATACCCAGACACTATCAGACACTCCATGGGACTGCCATAGGACTGCCGCCCCATTGGCCCCTCATGGCCCACCCCTGGCTTGATCGGCAGTCCTATGGCATGGAGTGTCTGGGATATGATGTTCTATCATGTTCCGTCCGCAGACGTCGTCCCTGTTTGATGATTCGACGTTTTGGTTACCTCGGTTGTCCCCCAAAGGACAGCATTGAATACCAACGTCCTACTCAGTCACTGGAAGTCCTTTCACCATTTTTGGGGATTGAAGACACCCCACATGGTCAACCACGTGCCGGTGCACAGTTTGGCAGCCCACTCTCTGGAATGGAAGCAGAGTGAAAACCACCTAGACTTGATCCTATTTGGTATGAAAAGAACATGGTCACCCAAGGGCCATGCCATCCACGCAACCATGATTCGCTTCACAGTGTAACTAGGTCTCATGTCCTGTAACAAGTCAACCAAATGGTTTGTCACTCTTTTTGAGATGTCGGCTGAAAAAACAGACCCCATCATCATCCACTTGGCCTCCCCAAAATGGGATACACCCAAGGTCATATACCCGATATACCTATAGATCTTCCAACTGTGCAAAATGTATGCCTTTTGGTTGATGTAATGGATGAAAAGGGCAGAAATTCTGCACAGTTGGAATCCGGAAGATCCAGGTATATTATATATAACAGTTTCTTTTCGCGGCCGAGACGGGACAAAAAGGAGCGGATTTGCCCTGCCGTCGATGGGGGGCACGGTTTTTTGGGGTCCCAAGGAAGCGGATTCCTCACCAGTGGACAAGACTACCATCGCCACTTGGATTGACAGGGCAGTTACTGGCAGTCGTCATGTGCTTGGCTGGTTACACCAGGACCAAGACCGTATTGATTTGTGGATGAAACCCTTAGCATACCTGTACTTGAGTCAAGTACCCACACCAAAAGAACATGTTTCCCGCATCCGTACCAAACCGATCCAAACAGTACTTTCAGTGTAGCCCATGCTTAAAACATGGGTTTGGCTCACTCCGAAGTTATTTTGGCATCACTAGAACAGAATGTACCAGGCCCTTTAATGGGTGTCTATAAATAGTCTTTAGAGATTAAGGGGAGTCCAAAAAACCACCTGTTGGAAGGTCCTGCTATTTGATGAGTTCTAAGAATTGAATAGAATTGATTCAAGGAAGCAGTCTCTAAGGGGGTCTAGCAACCTGCATGGATATTTTTTGCTGCATGTGTGGGTGCATGAGAAGGGGATGGGTGAACAACACTTTTCCCTAAAGCACTGGCTGACGGATGACATATGATGATTTGCTCCGTGAACCACGTACGGCACATGTATTTGTTCAGGTGTGAAGAATTCAAAAAAGGAACCTGATCCTTTAACTGTTCTTTCCGATTCGAGGCATACTGACTCCAAGTTGTTGTTTGGCTTCTTCAGGGGTGCTCGGCTTAGACTGCGAGCCTTTGAGCGTTTTTCACCTCCTTCGAAGGCACGTCGACTCGGGAGGGATCGAGGTGCCGACAGGACTCGTGGCTTCCCAGACATGCGGCTTCGACACTCCATGAGACTGGCATAAGATGCCGTACATTGACAAACCATCCCTGGCCTGATCGGCAGTCCTATGGCAGTCCCATGGAGATATACAGGAATCGGATGCTTCCCGGGAAAACCCCCCGCGAAAAGGCTGCCGAAACAAAACATGCAAAGAAACGATGTTTCTGGGTGATGTGAATCCACGTACCTTTTGAGGTACGGTGATTGGAGACTATTTAGACTAATTTATGTAGGCTTGGAGGGTCCAATTAGCTTCTGAGAAGGTGGATCCATAGGGATCATGCTTTGCATCGTTGTCAACGCTGCATGGTCAACGCTGCGACGATGCCCCTTAGACCAACGATGTGTGGGCTTTCCAGAGGGGACACAACACCCCAACTGCTGAACGTTCGTGACGGTGTCGTGGCCTTTGGTTGTACTCCCTGAAATCATCCTGGAAGTGGAACATAGCCCTTTTGGAAGATCATATTTCCTTGGCAAGCAGCTGGTGGTTTTCCACAACCCTTTGTGACCTGTCGGAGGGAGTGAGTGAGTGTAACCCTGTCCTCTGCCTGTCGCCTGTCGGTCGCCTGTGTCGCTCCATTTGCGAGGAGACGGCGCCCATCGACGCTCCCCTCTTCAATCACCTCAGCGACCAGAAGCAGAGGGAGATCAACAAGTACCGTGAAGACTACCGTCGCGTGGCGCTCGTGGCGTTCGACTAATGGCGCAGTCGACACGGAGTGCGGGGGGATCGTTGTTATATAGATCACGGTGGTCGGAGGGGGCGGTCAGACCCACACAGTCTTTTTGGCGATGACCGATGTTAAACAGTTGGTGAAATGACTGTGCTTTTGGGGTTGCAGGAAGAAACTAAAAGAACTGGCTTGTGTGGTTCAAGATGTGGTTTTTCATGGCTGGGTCTGGAATCAACTAACCCATGGGGTAAAGAACACCTCGATGGGCACAAATTGTGCCAACCATGACAAGCAGATACAAACCTGAAAGACTGATGAAAGTGGATGGTGTAGCCCCGATTTCGGACTTCGCATCTTCCTACCAAACGGGTGGTGAACTCAATCCACGAATGATTTGTCCAAGGAGTGCAGAGTGTAAGGGTCAGGGTACCAACCCTTGTAGCTCTGTACCCTCCTTCCAACAAACATGGGACAACGTGGGTGGCATGGCCTCTTGGAAGAGTGTGTCCCGAATACCAAACCTGTGGTTTTCTATTTCCATGACTGTTTCAGGGAGGATATGTTTAAATTTAATGTTTCTTATCACGCCTCGTAACCGTACTGTCAGGGGGTGGTTTCCAAGGTTTCCCACTGAACAAGAACAGATGGACAGGTCGGGCCAGCTTGATCTTAGAACCAAAAACGGCTCGGGAGTCGTCCGCTTTCCTCGTCATGCTTTGACATTGGGATCTTTAAGGGCACGTGACCCCTGGCGTTACCAGATTCCAGAAGTCTCAGTTCCAAGGGATGGCCATGTTTGGCCAACTTAGGTTGGGCCAATTAGGGATGCTCGATCAGAGGGGGGAACGGCGGCGTTCCTCACACCGCATGGCCTTTCTCCGGCGTCCGTTGCGGTCTTCGTCGTCAGGGAAGTATCGCCTGGGCTATGCCTCGGGCGCCAAGGGAGAGGTCGCTGACATCTTCAAGCGTCAGTTGTCACGGGCCGCCTGGCAAAAACAGGGTTCAGACGACCCATTCGGGGAGGGATGGGTCCGGATGGTCTCTCCATGGGAATAGTTATGCCTTGGGTCTATCCTATTACTATACCTGTAACAGATTGTAACAGTTAACAATTCTCACTATTGTTGAACTAAGGCCTTTGAATACTATCCATCATCATCCACGGTTGCTGGTCATAGGATAGACCGTTATACCATGGGATGGGTCGTCCCACTGGGATTCGGACTGCAGACCTCGTCCCATGGGGCTGGGACTGTGGTCGACCGGAGGCTGGCTTGTGCCAAGACGAATAAGGATAGACAATATACCTTGCATAAAGCGCCATTCAGCTTTTGGCACAGATCTAAGAGACTAGGTTTGACAACCTGGTGTTGCTGAAGATGATGTTTTATTAGTCCCGCTATGGTTCAATCATGTTCAGTCCCCATACCTGGGGAAGATGTGTTATGCTTTTTCCAGGTTCCGGTTCTTTCGCACATCCAAGACAGCCTCCCACAGACTTCCCAACACCACACGGTTTCATATCCAAGCCACTCCCATGAAGTCGAAGCTGGGCCCCCTCATCGACAGATCAGAGACAGACTGTCCGAGATAGGAACCGGCAGCATCTGGAAACGGGCATGGCCAAGTTCAGTTCGTCCTTGACTCTAAATATCTCTAAATGCCTGCATAATATGGGTGGTCTACTTCCTTCTTCCAGTTTTTCTGGGTGTCTAGACCTCAGCGACTGAAAGTTCACGACCTTCACTCCGTGACAAACTTGGACCTCACCGACTCAAAGGGACTCGACTCGGGACTCGACTCGACCAGTGACCTCAGGCGACCGGCATTTCGGAAGGTTGACCTCAATGACCTGTAGGTGCTTGGAGACCTGTTCCAGGGCCTAACACCCAACCCTCCATGCAACGGAGACCTGTTGGGTTCGGTGCTGGTCAGCTGCTGCTTGGACGACTCGGTCTTCCTTCGACGAAGCTCAGCTCGCAGCGGTCCTCGGCTCTCCCGGAGCCCTGGGATCTCCCGGTCCTCGCGGCGGGCGGATCGTACTCCCAGCAGGATGAGAAGTGCGAAGCGGTGGAGGAGATCCTGACCCGTACCACCTCCCAATCCTCCGGCACCTCGGACCGGTGAAAGAGACATGTGCTGGGGTGCTGGGGTGCTGGAAGCGGATCTGGGGAAGCACCGGAATGGCGGGGAAGGTCCCGCGTTTGGGTTCACCTTTGGGGTTAAACTTATGTTTATCAGTGAAAAGCATGTGAAAGGACATGTTGGAAGTTGGAAGAGAAATAAATGGGATGGGGGTCCTATCTTACGTGGAGATCACTTGATGGCAGACATGAAACACATTGGCCATCCAACCCCTAACCGGGGCCATCCAATCAGAGAAGGCTCGTGTTTTTGGTGTCACCACGTAAGGAACCACCGGGTTCCGGCCACGCGGGCCCGGTCGGCGGTATCTCGGGGTGCGGAGGAACGACGTCGTCAGATATGTTCAGATCCCAGACACGACCCGTCCGGACTGCCGAGAAACGGTAACCGGTGGTGGGCCATGAGGGGTGAATGTGGGCATATATGGCAGTCTCATTAGACGTGTCTGGGATGTTCAGATCGATGTTGTTTTCCAAACACCCGAAGCTGGTGATGGTGATGGCAGCAACAGAGCGACGCGAGGGACTCGGCGTTGAAGCCAACATGCGGTCCGACATGTAGCGGAATCCAAACGATTTGTTTGGGGGGATGAAGAAGCAAGACACGCATCCAAGGTCCAAGATTATTGCTGCAATTCCAATTATAACTTGTTCAGTGATGTTCAGTGCATGTTTGGCTGACCAGAGTTGATTCGCTTTTCAGGCACTGATGATGAGATGGTGACTCAACTGCATCGAAGTGCTCAAATACCGATTACATCTGGAGGTTACCCAAACAGCATGGATGAAATCTGGAGCATGGATGAAAGCAGCCAACCCAATATGGCATGCCAACATTGCCAACCGCTGGTGTTCTTCCCCTCTTGGGACCTCTTGGCCATGGTCACGGGAGATAGCACCCGCCCGTCCTTTTTCTGAACCAACCAAGGGCGGGGCTGACCCAAACCATCGATGTTCTCCAATCCTCATGTGCAAGAAAAGCCCGTTCGACAGCCAATATGTACGGAATAGAGCCACCAAGCGGAGGTGTGTGGCTTAGGACAAGGATGGACAAGGTGAACTTCGCCTAGAATAGTCCGAAGACTATAGGTAAAGACCATATGTTTTATGGCCTTGGGATCCCCATAGCTAGTGGGGGCTTGGAGATCTTAGCTGGGCAGCCAAGGGATTGTGGTTCCAAACTTGACTCACATGACCAACTACTGAGTGCCTGTGACTTAGCACTTTTCCTTTCAGGAGCCTTCCAAGGTCCAAACCCGATATGTCCGTCATAGATATGATCAACCCTAAACCTAAAGCATCCAGCCTAAGGGCCTAACAGCCTCCAAAACAATCCTAACAGCCTAATCCCTCCGAGTCCATCCAGCTCTCCAACAGGCACCCCTCCGTCATCGGAGCCGAGACCTGTCATCGCCCTAGGAAAGCCTGGCACGAACCTTTAGCGAGCCGGTGCCCGTGTGGCAGCCCTCCACTGTCAAGGGCTTGGCATCTCACTACAGCGGCATTTTCTCAGAGGCGGATTTCACCAGCGTGCGGTTCTGGATCTGGACGGCTACCTGTTGCAACCTGAATTGACCAAAAGGATACTAGGCAATCACTGACAAGGCAATCATCCGGTCTTCCTGGATCCCCAGTCTCAACCAGAAACAGTTCTGGGTTGTACGGTTGGAACCCAATACATGTGGCAATTGACACATCAAAAATGGCTGGGAATGAAGAGTTCCATCCATTTCTTTTGAGACTGAGCTTCCGGTCTTGCTGTGATGGTCTTACGATCCAGCTCGCCGCTTCGAAGCTGGTGGACGTTTTCACTGAAGCTCGGCAGGTCCCGGAGGTTCGAACACAACATCGAACCCCCAAGCCACCGGCTTCTTGAAGCCGGCCAGGCAGGTTCAAGGAGATGTACTGGCGGGTTGGGTCTAAACCCCGGTCAAACACGGTGGTCCAATTCTGAGTGAGTAAAGGACTGGTCGTCCTCTAATTTTGATTCACTGATCCACCGTTCTTTCCAGAACAACAGGTCCTTTTCTTAACGATTCTATTTATAGATGACTTAATCCGGGCTCCTTCACCAACACAGGGTTTGGTTCGGGTCCAGACCCCGAACGCGAAGAGGGAGAAGGTCCGACCCCTGCCATGGAGAGCCCAAGGATTCTTAGGGAGATTACTTTAATTAGTTACCACAGGCAGGGCTTTTCAAATGGGCGGGACATCCTTCGACTCCTTCTTTTCTGGAGGCCTTGTGCAAGGAGGTGGACGTGGAGGACGAGAGCAAGTCCATGTACTTTACTCTGCCCAAGTCGGTGTTGCTTGGACCGACGAGTCGTCGAACAGCGGTATAGCCGCGGAACGCAGGTAGGGGAAAAGCACTCAGCGAGTCAAGAAAAGGCACTCCTTTGAGAGCGGCCACTTGTGGAGAGATGGTGGCCACGGTTGGTGTTCTTTTTTGCCAAAGCCACTTGTTTGATATCCTTGGTGCAGGACCCACTGTGGGACCCCTGCCCAAGAAAAAGGACACATTTGGATAGACAAATCCGTTGTTTTCCACCAAACTATTTTAGCTCTTCCTTAACAGTTCCAACGAATGCTATAGGTTTAGTCAGTAAACAAGCAAATCGCTACTTTTGGACAATGCCTCTACTAACCATCATCCACTGTTACAGGTAATAGGATAGACCCGAGCTATAGGATATTCGAAGACGCTTCAGAACTTCGAACCATCACGAAGAAGGGCTCGACTGCAGCTCGGGGCTACCTGGCCTTGGGGGTAGGTGCCCGGGAGGTCTAGACCGAGGAGATATGCTTGACTCTAAGGATTCGTCCAGGGGCTGGTTGGGTGGCAAAATGCTTGAGTCCGTTTGGTTTCGGATCAGTTTTTGTATGGTGAGCGCCATTCGAACCATCGGAAGGCATCCTTGCGGCCCTTGTTTGATCCTTTTTCCGTGGGCAACTACCATGCCTGAACTATATATGTACCCCATGATTACCCCACCCAATCACTTCGGTCTGTGCCCGGTGTGTGCGCTCAATTGAAAGACCAGCTGGTACTTGATACGTGGATGGCGATGGCGTGGATGGCGCCGCGAAGACCGGACCTAGGATCCCAACCTTGACTGAGCCAACGTTTGGATCCCACCCGCAGCTGTGCGTTTGGTACCGTACGGTAGGTTGCAGGTTGAGTCATTGACCTGCCAAGATCATCGTGAAGATCGGCCTTGATTCCGCTCGTACGTGTCACGGCGGAAACGGCGGCGTTTTGGCAGGTTGCCAGATCCTTCGGCACAGTACTTCCAGGCGGAGAACATCGGAGAAGTGTTTGAGAATGTGGGAATGTTTAAAATGTCAAAGTACTTCCATGTGAGAATGTCAAAGTCAAAGTGTTTGAGAATCTTCCAAAGTTGTGCGAGTAGCTGAAAATCGAAGGGTTTTGACTGAGGGCAAGAAGCACACATCGTTTTGCTGATCTAACTACCAGCACCTTCAAAGGGGTCACCTGGCTGGAAGCCCCAGCCCACTACTAAGGGACCTCCAGACAGGACACCCTTTGAAGGTCCAGGTATGTTTTTTCTTGTTCACTGCACATTATCGACCCCTCAAACCACCCCATAATGTAGGCATATATGGCATGCATGGAGCGTTTGGGTATGTTTTTCTTGTTCTATATGTTTGTGTAACGGACCAGACAGAGGGTCGGCGCTATTCCCGCGATGCTTCAGTTTTCGGGTGGAGCGATGCCGGACCAGCTGAGCTGCCAGCTGTTCCACTCCTTTCCGCGAGCAACTGAAGCTGTTCCAAGGCCTTTCAACACCTACACTTCTGTATTTTCCCCTAAATTGATTCGCCTTTAACATCTTTAACATTGGCCTCACACATCCTCACACACATATATATATATATAACACCTTCGCCTATATATCACCCACAGCTATTGCTTGCCTCATGTTTTTTTAAAGAGTGTTGGGCGTGCTGTTGGACGCCCAACAGGTCTTCCATAAGCTTGCTCACTGCAGCACTGTGTGCCTCGCCCGTGAGGTGCCTCAGATGGAGGATGGCACACTCGAGTTGGATGCTGAGCTTCTTTTGTCCAAGACACCTCTTCCCAAGGCGCCACGTTCGAACACCAAAAACAGCGCGCGAGCCGGAGAATAGCCCCCATTGAGTTTTCCAGAGCGAACCATCTGGCAGAGACGCTGGATGTGCTTTTTCCCCTTGCTTTCCAATCCTGTTCCAGTGGGAGTGGCAGGTGTATCAACTCCCTCCCACGAGAAGCGTGGAAGTGGCGTGGCTTGAGTTCTCAAGGTGTTTTCCCTTCTCCAAGTTCCTGGCCCTGATTTTCTTGGTGTGTTTTTTTCCGCTTATTTGGAGCTTTTTTGCCGCCAGGCTGCTGCGGAGTTCTCCTCGATCCATGTGGTGCAGACATCAGGCATTGCATCCGGCTCCAGCGGTTCCGGTCGCGTGAAGGATCCCTCGGTGAGTTCGGGAACAGTCATACTCAGCAAGGCACGGAACGCTCACATATTCCCAGACACTCCATGTCATTATGGTATAGGGGTCTGTCTCATTACCATTGCCTGTAACAGTCGGGTTTCACCAGCAAATCATGATTTTTGAGACAAGCCTTTACTAACTATCCTCATCCACTGGGCGCCAATAGGATAGACCCAACGTCGTTTGATCTCCTACCTTGGGCACGTGACTCAGCCCCCAACTGAGCCAACCCAGGCGTCAGCGCCAAGATCACTGCTGCCTCCATCAAGAACTCCGCTGCGAAGATCAGGTGCCTCGGCGCGCGGCCACGCGCGGATGCGGAGCGCGCGGCTGCGCGGCGGAGCAGATCGCGGACGGGTTTTCCGTCGTTGACGTCGCTGAGGAAGAATCAGGGCATTCGTTGCAAAAATCGTCCCACAGTGCACAGGGGGTAACATCACCATGTTAAACATCTATAACATTGTGAGTTTACCCCCTGGGTAAGCCCTGTGCAGTAAGACCCCCTAGTAGACCACAGTGCACAGGGTAGTAAGAACCCCTAGCAGAATTGCGGTATTTTTGCGGGGATCCCAAAGCAACGAGGTGAAAGATGTTTACTCCGATGTGCGTGTCTCCACTCAACACCGAGGCATGGAGACGAAGCGCACACGAATTGGAGGCTTTTGTATGTTGTTCGAAGACGTCCCCCACTGTGGTAGGCTCTAAGGGTTTGACTTGTTTGACTGGTTTGCAGATGTTTGCTGAACAAGGTCGTACAGATTCGGGATGAGAAATTCCAGCGATCTCATGCCTCCCTCACTCTCCAGTCTCGGTGTCTCGGTTAAGCTGGCCGAGTCCTTCGAGCCAACCATAAGGAGATAGGAGTAGGACCCAGGAAGGAACTAGCCGAGTCCGCCGAGGGTGACAAACCGGTCATGTTAGCCATGTTCCACTTCCATCCGACATTCCATAATTGTGTAGAATAATACTGTATACATTGACCCCTTTTCAGCCACCCCATACATGGAGTGTAAATATGCCCAAAAAATAAGACCCCCAGGACGTGACCCCCAAGTATCTCGAACAGTGGGTGCCCCTTTTTCATGTATTGGCTCACGTATTTGGAGACCATGATATATCCCAAACACTCCATGCGACTGGCATTGGACTGCCGCCCCAGACAGACCCCCCTGGCACCACCACCCCTGGCCGTTTCTCGGCAGTCCTATGGCAGTCCCATGTGTCGTGTCTGGGATATACAGTATATACATGAACTGACATTGACCCCTGAAATCAACCACCACTGGCCTGATCGGTAAAGATGTCACAAAGGTGGAGTGTTTGGGTTGGTGTCTGGGATATATACATGGGAGTCAATGGGAGTCTTCGGGAACGTCTACATTCCTTTGAACCTCTCCAGCAGCTCGACCAGTCGAGAATCATCGCCGAGCAACCTCGCTCGTTCCGCCCACCGAGCGAGCGGGCGCCGGCGCCAGCTGGGTCCGAGGAAGCCATGCGTGCTCCATGACTGGCCAGAGCTGTCCACAGATGCCAAAGCCGAGTACGACGTGACTTGGAGACGCCGAGCCGCGCACGGCAGGAGACGGAGCCGAGCTGTCCACTGCAGCGAGGAGTGGACTCCTGGAAAGAGACGAACTCGACGGCTGACCCTGCTACTGCCACTTCACCTGGGGTGTGTAGCGCTGAGAACACCAAGGAGACCCTGCTAGACCCTGCTAGAGAATGGAAGGTTCGGACAATAGACCCTACTAAGCATGCCCTTCGTTCACTTCATCTCTCCATGAACATATTAATCCCTAGGGATCCAGTCGTACCTTCTCAGGTACGGCACCTGGACCCTCCTGGCACCCACCCACCCCAAGTCCCACCGTACCTGAGGTTCGGTACGACTGGATCCCTAGAGGAAAAGGACAACACACCCACCTGGTTGAAGAATCGGACTGGATGTGATCCCAAGAAGGAGGAATCCATCGCTTTTTGGGAGTGCGTAGAGGTTGACCTTGTTGGCAAGGCTGGTTGCCAAGGAATTGTAGGTCGTTGCACGTCAGAAGCGGTAGGGACAGTCAACCAGTGTACCAGGGTCATCCTGTTTGGGTGTCCAATAGACTACCCTGCCCTATACTTATAGGTCTCCATTGGGCACCCATTGGAAGTGCTAGCTGCTAGGTAGGTGTCCATCATCGAATTGTAAGGACCTGGACCTGAAAAAGGGGTGTCCTGTCTGGAGGTCCCTGTAGGTCGTGGGCTGGGGCGAAACCAGCCAGGTGACCCCGACATGAAGGTGTTGGGATGTTCATCATGGATCATTGTCAATAGGGATGGGGTCCCAGTATAGTCGCTATACAGGTTCATGCCATATACTTTTGGCTCAAGTGCCCAACCAGGTAAAAAGGAGCTTTAGCGCGCGAGCTTCATGTTGACCTAAGAGCTAGAACGGGGCCAGGGCACACCTTTCCATCCGTTCGCAGGTTATCAGCCGTATCCAGACTCCTTTGAGCTGGGTACGAGCTGCGGCCTTACACAACACCATCTAAGCGCACACGCATCGGGTAGACCAGTTACCCTCAGTCACTGAAGATGGACCAATCCGACGCCAGCACTGCATCTTTTGGAG